TTATTGTGACATCCATCATAATTCTCTTAAAATATCATTGTCACTTCCTGTTGATAATGTTACGTGTGACTGTACATAACCAACACACAAGAATTCACAGGAGGTTACATACCTGGTTTATGGTGCAAGGGGTTACATATTAATTGCCGCCTTTTATTTACAGATTACAACTCTCTAAATGATAAAATGTTTAAATAATCTATCTTTCTCAATGTTATCGTATCAAATAGGTGCCATTAATGACTTTCATAAATATTTAATATTATCATTAATTTCCCACCTGACAGTCCTATATTGTCTAGTGAACGTGATTCAGCAGCAGTATACTATTGATCAATAACAAAATTTGTGAGGTCAATGCTATGGCGGCAGTTTGTTAAGTGGGTAAATACAAATCCCATTTCAGTATTATCAACTAAACTGAATTTAAAGTCGGTAATACGTCGAATGTCTTTGTTATGTCACTGCATGGTATTGTTTAAGACAATTGCCTGAAAAGGTAGTGAAGTCATGCATGTAAACGAATACAGTACTTAAAATCCAGTTTTTTCACTGCACTCATGAGACGAAAGTTACCAAAAAAGAATACGATTTGATAAGTTGGCAGAAAATCAGAAAAAAATGTACGTATTTCGCTAGTTAAAATATCAGTTGTCTCCCTTTGTCCATCCTGTCATAGCATGTTTTCGCCTACAGTGCTATTAATAGACATGACATTACTTGGTTTATATACAGTAAATGTAGACGCAATAAGCCGAGCTGGCTCTGTCAAGTGGTTACTTTGTGAAAAACGATTTATACATACTTACCTTGTACCCGAGTAATCGAAGAGGACTCGAGTTCGACGCCACGAAGAGGGGGGTGGGGGCCGGCCACTGACGCTATCCAGCCAATATTTTTTTATTTTTCATTTTATTTTTTCTTCGTTGTAGATATTCTCTTCCGTTGATGATAGTTTTGTAGATATTTTGACTTTTTCTCTTTCAATGTGTATTTTTACTTTATTGGCTTGGCTGAATATATGGCGAAAGTAATAAATAGAATAACAAGTTCATTGTTAGTTTGTTTGCTGGTTATATAAGGGTTTGGCTCCTCACAACATAGAAATATATACAATAATTAAAAAAAAAAACAGGTAAAAATTCTTACACTGGTTATTATATCATGAAGATAATGATTTTTTTTTCATTTGATATATACAATTAAACTCGTACCAGCTATTTCTATTAATTGCTACTAATTCATATTTATTATTTTTCATTTTTTTTTTTACTTTGTAGCATTGATAATAGTTCCGGGTTTTTTTCATTATTTTCTTTTTTTATTTTGCTTTTTTTAATTGCAGTGTATATACAACACGCATGTACATCAACACGGTTTGTTTGTGTGGTTGAATACATATAAAATCGAAATGATTTTGTTAACAAACTGTTTACATGATATGTTTTTTCAATGGTTTACTTAATTCATATAGATACTTGTTTTTTGCGCTATGGTTATATCAAATCAAGAAGTATTATCTACGTCACATTACTTGCTAGACAATGACAAAAGGAACACACAGACAACATTGATGACTCCTTAATAATCAGCTAGTACTAGAGGAATGTATGTTACGATTAGTTTCTATACGTAATTCACGCTTATTATTATTGTGCAATTTACCACTAATTTGTGTGTCTTTTCAGACCGTGTTCATTGCTGAATAAACACCTTTTAAAATAAACGGAACGTCCCATTTAAGTACATATTGACAAAGTATGCTTTAGCTGTTGGGGGAGTACCACCACATGTTTTAACAGTGAACATTCCCCTTCCCCATCGGACCAATCCGTACCTCTCTGAATACAGCAAAGTACCACTGACACTAGTCCGAATTATTCTGACGTTTTATCGACTTTTTCATATCGGTCTGTCGTCGATTAACGTTAATCGACGACAGACCGATATGAAAAAGTCGATAAAACGTCAGAATAATTCGGACTTCCCTGACACACACTCTCTAGAATATATAACATGTGAAGGATAACAACTGTTCTTCAATTATACAATATTGAAATTGAGAAAAGGTATATGAAAGCAGATAACGTTTCAAAATATTGATACATATTCTCTTTTGACTGATTAGCATTCTATAGTATAAAAGTAAGACATGAAATGGTGTCATTTGAACATTATGGAGTGGTTTACACATCAGTTATCTCCCTTCGTCCTGCTATAGCATGTTAACGCCTACAGTGCTATAAATAGACGTTACTTGGTTTATATAAGTAAATGTCGACGCATCAAGCCGAGCTGGCTCAGTCGTGTGGTTACTTTGTAAAATCATTATTTGGTTTTAAAACTAGTATCAGGAAGAGGAGGAGAGTTCGATGCTCGGGAGAGGGATGGGGGATGGGGGCCGGCCACTGACGCTATCCAGCCAAACTTTTATTTTTATTTTTTCGCATAAGATATTGAGTTGAGCATGATTTACATATTTACTTTTTTAGGGCTATATATTTAAATATTTACGTTTTTAGGGCTATATATTTAGATATTTACGTTTTTAGGGCTATATATTTAAATGTTTCTTCATCAAATGGTTATGTTTCGTTTTACTAAAAGTTTAATCATAAAAAGAATAAAATAAAGGAATTACTGGGAGTTTGTGATTTACAATTAATAAACACAAATAATTTATCACCGTCGCGTTCATGAAAATATTGATGAGTAAATTTCTTTACTAATCGTGTTTGAATTATTGTCTATGTTACACCTATAAATGCGTGTTTTTGAGTTCATAGATATAGAGTCAAATGTAAATTATATTCATCAACTGTAAAACAAATGATAGTGTAACTAATGCTCTTTGATTTTCAATTTATATCAACCTTCGCAGTTTTCTAATCATTCTTTAAGAATAATCACCACATTCAAAAATCACAGTACATGTCTTATATTTTTAATCTTCGGGCGTTACAAAATGATTCTCACGCTTAAAACATACCAAATTTCGTTTCAAATTCTTCGATTATTCAAAACATGTTTTGGTTTCTTCAAAATCCGAATAAATTAATTCCTCTTCTGAAGTAACCAGTGTACACAAGATGTACACATAAAACTACGACTATAACTCTGATTTTATTATATTAACTATATGTGATTACAGTAGATTTCTCTTAATATCACTTCCCATTTGTCAGAGAAAAACATGATATTAACAGAAACATGACATAAACAGAATACATATTTTCTGATGTTTTTTAGCCCTCAAAAACGGAAGTGAACTTAGTCAAATGCCTAAGTGATGTGGCTCTACGAAGAAGATTGATATTTTGTAACTAACCTTGTTCTTTACCCTAGTTGAAATATAGATATAAGTAAATAAGTATAGAAATAAATATATTATTTGTATTTCATTTCAGTATGCAGTTACATTTCATATAGTTAGTAGCAAAATGACGATCAGTACGATTGTAATTATGATTGTTTACTGCAGTAGTGATGTAGGCATACAAGTGTTTGGCTGGTATTCTGCATCAAATTCAATTGTAAACATGATACTTGGTAAATATTTACCTATATCTTGATATATATGCTGTTCTTTGGCTAGTAACATCTTTTTATAGGTTAATTTCCTTAGATATTTGCTGCAAGTGTGTAATCGAAGATAGTTACACATGTTATAATTAGTTGAAAGAATACATCACACTTGGCATTAGAAAAGTTCACAGATGTTAGACTGTCCTATAAGCTAGCTCCCCCAACCACAGGTGAATATCATGTTAACAAGTATGTAAGTCAACCTTTTGTTTAACAGTCAGCCAGGTGTAACCTATTGTTTGACAGTCAGCCAGGTGTAAAAAATACCCTGTTAGGCCGAGGCATTGTTTACATAATGCGTACAGGGTGTGACAGAAGGTCCCCATGGCATTTATCATGAATCCTTACCACCATTTACCTGTATTTTTTTTGTGATAGTGGCCAAAATAAAGTGATATTAAGAGAAATCGACATAAAATCAATGATAATAAAAGAATTGAATTGAATAGATTATATAGCAGGAAAAACGGTTCATCAAAAAAACATGATAATAACCGAAAAGTGACATTAACAGACGTGATATTAGGTGAAATGTACTGTATTAGAAATTTTGATTATGGCTTATTTGAGCCAAAAGGCAGAACTAGCATATTTTAATTCAAATTATGATGCAGATCTGTGGGGCTTTAATATATGTCTGAGGGGGAGATATCATAAATAGTAAAGTGATTGGGCCACTGCCCCCCACCCCAACCCGCTAGCCCCGCTCAACAGTACGGGAAACCTCAAAAGTACGGGATCCCTTGAGGTCACTGGGTGTTTTCCTGCCATTTTGAAAACCGCGCCAAATAAGAAAGCGCGCTAAACTTTCCCGAACCATTTGAAGACCCTAGTCAGAGATAAGAGGGTTATTAAATGTCCAGTTTATTTCCAACACTTGGATTCGCCTGACTGAAATCAAAACTATTAGAATTGGAAATTACGGATATCGATTTATGATGGAGAGTGTGCACAAATCCGTTTTAAGAAAGAATCAATTACTGCCCTAAACATTGGGATAGAAATGGGTAAGATACCGATATTTGTTATGGGTGATGAGTCGGTGTGCATATCTCTAGCGTTCATCCTTTTGGTTGGAGGAATCCTGTTCTGTGAGCCGTTAATGAAAGCAGCCGTGAGAGCATATAGTTGAGTATATACGAAGCGAACACTTGGCTAGCATCACTTTAAATTAAAGCTTGTTTCACATCTATTTGACAACGGAGATTTAAAAATCAATGACGGAAAAATCTTTCCTTTTTCCTATTAGTTTTACTAAAATGGGAACATTATATAGAACGTTCTGTGTCTAGTTTCATATTTCACAGAATTTTAAGAAGGATACATTGATTTTAAATTCGGAGTATCAATAAAAGTTCTCCAGATGGATTGCAATCATAGTTTAGATTTCGCTGAAAAAGAACCCACCATAACGCTTTGATCTAATGGCTTTTATTATGTTTATTATGTGCAAACACTACAGCTCTGTCTACACAGATGCTTCTGGTTGGGGTCGGAGCACGCCATGCTCAAAAACGGTATACTGAAGCATCTTGTGTCGTCGTCTTTGCACGTTGTTGTAGCGGGAGAGGTAGCTCCTAAAACAGAAACTTCTACAATTCAATATCCTTATCAGAATGAAAGTTCATGTGTTTCGTTATTGATAAATTCGATTGTTCATTTTTTTATTTTGTTCGCAGCACTTGGTTCTCGGTCCTATTGTTGAAGGCAACATAAATGGTCAAACTATTTAGGTATGTATTCTTGAGTTTCTAACAGAATTTAAGAAAAAAAAACATCATATCAATATCTTTACGTTTATAATCATACCAAACGTTTAATTGAAATCACCTATTCGACATATAACTTGTTTTCATCATGAATCATAGAATTTAACGGAATTCCAATATGTATATATCGCAAGTCGGGTTTTTTTCCGTCAAATTGTCATGCTGTGCTCTAACTTCCGACCATTTAAAACAAATCCACTCAGTTTTGAATGTGTACATACGTTCATATGTAACCAAATGGTACGACTTAATATCAATTAAAAAACAATCGAGTCCATTAGAGGCCACATTGAGTGTCACCTTACAGATGTGCCATAAAAAAATAAATTAAAAAATACCGAAGTGTAACAAACCCACAATTCTAACTCAAAATCAATAATACTAGGGTAAATATTGACAAAGGAGAGATTTACATTGAGACCCTGGAAAAAGTGCAAGAAAATAAGACCAGGTGTACCAGAAGGGTAAGCGTTTTCAGCTTCATCGATGACAACCACCATATAAATCTAGGTCAAACTCAAGTAATGTCACGTCCTCTCAACGATAACTGGGGAAGTGACAAAAAAACACAAGTCACTCTAATGCGTTGTAAAAAGCATCGACCTTCATATCACACAAAGAGATAGAATATTTATTTCCCTGCGAGATCCTGATGGTGACCATAAAAATTGTCTATAGTCTTTATCAAGCCGCAACTTTGGAAACTTTTGTTTGTTTGTTTGTGTTTCAAGTCCTATTAACAGCTCTGGTCATTTAAGGACGGTGTAAAAACACCGACCTACGGTCAGTACCTAGCGACTGACCCACGTAAGCCTCAAACCCGCGACCCAGTGGAGGAGGGCTAGTGAAAGCAGAATGTCAGACGCCTTAAGCACTTGGCTCCGCGGAAACACTGTGGGGTACGGTTGTCCGTCAACAATCGACATATATCACAGAAGTCATGATATTCGGAGCAAGCTCTTTTTGTTGATACACAAGAAACAGACACAGAGAAAAATCCTCAATTATGCAAGCTTGCCATATAAATCGCCTCTTAAGATCATTTTATGAAATACAATGAAATTCGATCAACAAGGAGGTTTTTCCTCAATTTGTCTATGGTTTTGCGTCCTCGAAAGAGGTAAAGTCATACGAAAATGAGTTGTTTTGTATACATTTTTCTTATCCATAAGACAACAAAATATTGTTTAGCTATTACTATACATATATTGACATTTGCGGCTGACAACACATGCTCTTTACTCCAATCAATTATTGTTTTTTTTGTGAAAGTGGAAGCGAAATTAGTGTGTGTGAGATTTTCAGCTATTACAAAAGTAGTTTGCATTGTATAAAGAAAATCTGAAGAAAAAAACCAAATACAAAAGAATGGATGATGGTTCACCTCAAAAATGGATACCTATATTCGGAGAGCATTTGTTATGTAACCCACAGCGTAAGCTCTCGTAGGCTAGGGCTATTCTTAATAACGGGCTTGAATGCTTCTAGTACAGTGCAAAAATAATTGAAATTCTAACAAACGATACTGGAGTAATGACTTACCCTGACACATTCCACAACTCTTTTGACAAAATAGGTCGGCTAACTCTTTATCCGCACAAATACTCGTCAACATTGTTTGGTTATTACATTGAGTTGGATGCGTGTCAACACAGGCAGAGGTAGGTGGAACCACCAAGTCTGTAAAATAGTAAAAGAGTACTACATATTAAAGCCGCTAACTTTAGAGCTTGCACTGACATTTCCCAGGACAATAGCCCAACGAAATATGATTTTAAATAGCTCTTTTTATACCAATCATTATATTAAAGAATAATGTTTGATCTACAGTGACTGCAGTATGCAGACAACGATTCTATTTTCTGACTGCCTTCAAGATCAACAACTACAATTGAACTTTTCAGTGAATATTGTAGACAATAGAGATTAAAAGTTAACATAGGAAAGTGAATGTCTGAAGGGTCTTCTGCATCATAGAACTATATTCAAATTTAACAATGAATTCCAAACATTTAGGTACCTTGAAAACACTATGTACAAGAATAATCCTTAATTATATTTGTCCTCCGTGTTATGAATGATATAGATTGTGATTGTTTGACTTACATAATGAAAAAAGTACCAGGTTAATATGTTTCTCTATAGTTTGTAATCTACAGAGAATAAAATATTGACTAAAAATAGCTATCTGTGGATACAGTATAAAAAAATAAAAAAAAAACACCACTGCACCTTACAGCTTAAGACTCATTAGTGACACTAATTGATTAATTGGATTTTAAAAAAATCGAGCGGCACTTGTTAATACATATATATATCAACAAATAATTAATACACAGGCAAGTTGGTATGCATGAAGAAACAATAACAAGGATGGGTAGGTATATAAGTAAGAATAGCATTAACAGGTAAGTTCTTAGGTATTGCATAATATATATTTGCAGTAACATTCACACTAAGACAACTTTTTGATCCACAATGAATAATTTAGGGAGGAAGAAAAGACAGAGCCCCCGAGCGTTCCAATCTGGACAAGAGATCAATTTGATAAATTCAAATTTTTAGATTGTGAATGGCAAGTCCTATCCTGACAATCGTTATTTCATGTTTATGAGTAACCTTACCGCATATGTTGCAAGATTTTCGACAGTAAAACTTCATAATATCATCGAAGCATACGATAGGAAGTATTTCGAAAGCGCAGGACTGCTGGTTACTGTCCTGACAACCAGTTGTCGCAGCTGTTGATGACGTCATAGCTGTGACCACAGTAGTAACAACCGGAGCTGTGGTAGAAACTGGGGCAGACGTAATAGAAGTGGTAACACCTGGAGACGTTTGTCCAATAAAACCACCACCTGTAAAAATGAAAAGTAATGTACATCCACTTATACCGGTTAACTGTCATGCTTATACAATTAGTGTCTTCAAGAATGGATATATATATGTTGAGATGTTGTAATTTAAACTTGACGTCATAATCGAGATTAGTTGTTATTCCAAAGTCAAAGATGTATGCTTGTCAATACATAACCATTCGAAATATAGAGAACATGATATAACCATAACCCATAAAACAAAGTGATGATACACCTATTAAAACGCCGACAAAACCCATTGTTTCGCCAACGTCATTTTGTGTTGTTAAGCATGTTTAAGTTTTTAATTTTTATTTATTTTGTATAGTCTTGCTCATTCCTATTGTTATCTGTTCGAAACAAATTGAAATATGTTGTCTTTGCTGACAACACACAATGTACTGCACCGATAACGCACAATGTACTGCGCTGACCACACAATGTACTGCATAGACACAATGTACTGCATAAACAGCACACAATGTATTGCATAGACAACACACAATGTACTGCGCCGAAAACGCACAATGTACTGCGCTGACCACACAATGTACTGCATAGACAACACACAATGTACTCCATAGACAACACACAATGTACTACATAAACAGCACACAATGTACTGCACATACACCACAAAATGTACTGCGCCGATAACACAATGTACTGCACCAATAACACACAATGTACTGCACATACAGCACACAATGTACTGCACAGACAGCACACAATGTACTGCACCGATAACACACAATGTCCTGCACCGATTACATAATGTTCTGCACAGACAACACACAATGTACTGCACAGACAACACACAATGTACTGCACAAACAGAACACAATGTACCAAACCAACAACAATGTAATGCACCGATAACATACAATGTACGGCACAGACAACATACAATGTAACCCGCCGACAAAACATAATATAACGCTCAGAAAACATACAATGTAACCCGCCGACAACAGACGATGTACTGCGCCGACAACACAAATTGTACTCGGCCAACAACACACAATGTACTGCACAGACAGCATACAACGTACCGTGCCGCCAACACACTAAGTGTCGCGCCGATAACATACTAAGTACCGCACCGATTACACAGTGTCGAATTCAGAGATCAAACTTTATACGACAAGTTAACCACGGGGAATGATGAATCATCAAAAAGAAAAAACAATCATTAACCAATGGATGTGGAGGCGGAACCCGAATTAAGCGTTTCTGAAATTATGGAATTCTGACGAGGTATTACTTTTTATTTGACATGTGTTAATATTCTTGATTGAAATACGAGAAACAGTATACGCTATATCACAGTATTGTTTACCTACGAAAGTGGGAAAACATATTTACCACACAACCCACACGATTTCATGCAAAAATTCCTGAACACGGAATCTGCACAGATAGTCGGTAAAAGACTAGGAATACAAGGACGATTAGGATCGTCCTCACAGACAAGCGTAGTGGTACCGGGCGTAGTGATCGGGGGAGGGGTGGCTGCATCTGAAACATCGATACCAGACACAATAGCATAACTAAAAGCATGTATTCACATTCCAAGTAGTTATTTTTTCGAGTACATATATACTGAACAAAAAAAGAAACGCACAAAGTCTGCGTGTAACGACCGCACGACAAGACAGGGCGATTCGATTGTCGCACTTGCACAACAGATTCAAGACTGCTGTAGAGACTGCGTCGCATACCTTAGGTACTCATGGCAGACCCATTAGTCCTCAAACTGCCAGGAACCGCTTGCGTGCCGAGAGAATCATTGCGCGCCGACCTTTTGTCGGGCCACCTCTGACACCACGGAGGCGGCAAGTGCGTCTTGACTGGATGCACAGACATGGCCTGAATAGGTTTGGGATGCGTCGATGGAGGCGTGTGATGTTCACCGACGAGTCTAGATTCTGTCTGTATCGCTCAGACGGAAGAAAAAGGGAATATCGCAGACGCGGTGAGCGTTTCGCCGACGCATGCGTGGTTGAACGCGATAGATTCGGCGGGGCTTCTGTAATGGTTTGGGGAGGCATCTCCCATGTAGTAAAATCCCCCTTAGTAGTCCTGGATCAAAACCTCAATGCCGTTCGATACAGAGACCAAATCCTCCAACCACATGTCCTTCCACTTCTCAGACGTCATAACCTCATTTTCCAGCAAGACAATACTCGACCGCATGTTGCCATAGTCTGTCGTGATTTTCTCACGGCAAACAACGTTCAGCCTCTGGAATGGCCCCCATATAGCCCCGACATGTCTCTCATTGAGCATCTGTGGGATGAGCTGGACAGGCGTATTAGGAAACGTCAAAAAAAATAACTAACCGCGCCCAGTTGATCACAGCATTAACACAAGAATGGAACAACATTACCTTAAGGCGAATAAATGTTCTCATGAATTCAATGCATAGGAGAATCCGTGCAGGGATTCGTGCAAAAGGTGACCACACCAGGTACTGAAGTGTCAATTTGTTTTTCGCGGGTATCCCACTTTGAGTAACTACTGATGACACGAGTGACGTCACACAGACTTTTCTTCTACAGTATTGTAAAGAGTAGACTTGTCCCTTCATATTGATATAACATTTTGAACAAATTTCCCAAATTATTATAGGCTATTGATTGCATAATTTAATTGTGCGTTTCTTTTTTTGTTCAGTAAAGCATGTATTCACATTCCAAGTAGTAATTATTCGAGTACATGGAAATATATATAAATTCCATAGCTTTTACATTAAAGTGAAAGAAAATGTGTTTTAAAACGGATAACTACATAGTCTTTTTATGATTTGATACCACAAAACATTCACAATGATATACGAGTTTTACCAATGCAATATGAAAAAAAGAATCGATGAATATACGAAGTGTAATATTGTCACATGTTTTGATATATGGTTCAAAATCAACCAATCAGAAAGGTATGAGTTTTTTCTGCATTCAAAGCCACATGATTTTGTTCAGGTTGCAGAGGCGACAGAAGAAGTAGTGGTTGCTTTGTATATCTTTATAATGGGTAACAATACTGCAAGCGAATCGTGCTATACCGGGGTAATAATTATTTATTACTGAACCTAAGTACCCTGAGACAAAATTAAACATTTACAGATAATGTTAGTCACATATTAATAGGATTTAATTTCAACAGAATATAAGAGACGCTCACAATGAATTTCCGACATTATAATTTACAATTAAACATGTAAAATGTATTTCACATAATATAACAGTTATACATGAAAAATAATTTTACATAATATAATAGTTTACGCAGATTGATATAACTTAGTATTCATTTCAACCGATTTATATGACGAGTAACACAAAAGTACAACTCACCTTTACATAATTCTCTGTTACAGTTTTCACCTATGCAACATTTCGAACAAAATTGTGTCTCGCCAATGTGCACTGCTCCACCCTGATTGCATGTCTATTGGAATAATTAGAAACAGAACATAACAGTGGTGACCAGCTGACCGAAATGATAATTGTCATGTCGGAATTGTATTTCTTTTACACTTTCAGCAATGTTTCTATAAGTCTGTTACATTATGATGCTAGAATTATCGAATCATGAAACTGATGAATATCCTAATGATTAAAAAGCAATAATTGCCAAAAGCATCGACAATAGTATTCCAAATGAAAACGGATATTTTGAAGAAAACAAAATTGTTTGCCAGGTGTTACACAGAGTAAACTAGAATCGAAAAAGACATATGAAAACATTTGAAATTACTTATTTTTTTCAAAATAAACCTTTGAAATAAGTGATTCAAATTCATGCAAAATAATTTTCACAGATCTGCGTTTCATTTGAAAGTAAAGACCCAAATCAACCAGAAGTAAGAGATCCGAATTGTCTTCACTTGATATAGGTTTAAATTGTATTTAATTAAACAAATAATTTATCTTTGAAACTACCAAGCATAACGTTAATTAAGTTAAGCGATACCATTGATATGAATAATTGTTAAGGTAATTAACATATATATATATACCGGATAACCAAGTGTCTTTGCTTAACGGTATTCGTGTGATACGACTAGCGATAGCCGTCAGGAACTGAATTAATACACTATGGTTGTATAGCCCTCGGAAACAGCAGATATCGTTGAAAAAACATATATTATGCATCGCTACTTGGAGTGATTACATGTCTGCGTGACACAAAAGGATATCTTGTAAAAGGTAAAGAGAATATCTCTGTATGACTTTAAATAAAACAATTATAGAAATGTCAATATAAAATACGTATGCTTGATCTACTTGTATTTGAATAGGAAATAATTATTCCATAATTATATTTTTCATTGATTTAAACATTAAAATGTAACCTACCTTAACTTTCGAGATGAATTTAAATATTTACTCTGAATTATCCATTGGAATATTGGCCTTTGATTTGTACTTACATTGTTTCTCATACATCCGAGTCGAAATCGTTTTTCGCCAAACGTGTGGAGGTAATATGACGTATAGCACATCTACAAAACATTGCGGAACTTAAAGATGTTAATTACAAGTTTGTGTAATTAAGTCGTCAACATTTTTTTTCAAATCAAGATAATACCGAAACGTTCGCACCACCGTAATTTCAATGCACTGTTGATAAATAGCGCAAAATAAAAACAAAAGAAAGATAAATACTCGGACCAAGGGAAGTGTAAGGATAATATGAGCAGATGTTCTGGAAGGGTATCGTTTTCTGCTTCACATTGAAACCCTGAATGAAAATCAAAGTCAAATCGATGTTATGTTACGTCCTCAAAGCCAGAACTGGGGTTATGACAAGGACAAAAACAAGACACACTAATGAACATAATACAAACATATTTACTGGTTTTTTTTTAAATGAATCAAGAATTACACTTATGATAATGTGAAATTTTATCATATTTATAAAGTTTTTATATATTATTTGATATATCTTGCTAGGTTAATCCACTTTCATGCGCTTTGCAATAAATAAATATACAATTTATATTATCAATTTGTAAAATGAGTAATATCGCACAGTAGTCTCAACGTTCAAACACACAATAAGATCATAATGACTAAACGGTCAATAAAACAATATGGGTCCACAGGATCACATGGTATTTACGGCCTACCAGGCACATAGTATCTTCACAACACATAACATTGGGACGAACAGAAGGACATGGCCAGAGTGTATGTGACCTTCGAAACATTTAGAAGAAACGGCAACGATAGAACAAAAAGTCCTTTAAAAAATCTATATGGGCTCAGCTGATTGATTTTTTTCAGTGGAAGCACAAAACAATTTGAAAAAGAAGGATCCAACTACATCATATTAAGGCGATCATGAAATGAACTACACAATACCGTTGTTAATTTGTGATATATTATGGGTATGATGTACCTTCCATAACAGATTAATGTCTCATTTTATTCGCGAATAACTACAAAACATCACATTTTCATAAAAAAAAATCATAAAGATCGAATCGAACTCGTCATTACAATATAACTACAGACATGGGCAGTATAATGAACATATTGACCTAGATTAACATGGCGGATGTCGTCGATAAAACAGAAGACGCTTACCCTTCCGGAACATCTGGTTTTCTTCCTCGTGTACTTATTTAACGGTCTGCATGTAAACCTTTTCATTGTTCATTTTCTGCACTAGTTTTATCGATTTCGAATTCAAATTTCTCTTTTCGACTTTTCGGTATTCTCGTGTTTTTTTTATAAGATTTTCCCTCGTTCCCTATCGGTAACACATATGTTCAATCTATAATCGATTACATTTGACCCTATAGCTAATTGTTAAATTAATTTGGGTGATGTTTGGATAAAAAATTGAAGAAATTAATTTATGACTATGATGTTTGGAATCTTTTACTGCTTTACCAAAAAATGTTTTTGTAAATAATTAATTTTTCGATGTTCAGCCTCACAATGTTCACAAAGTTTCAACATGCTAACCTTGAACTTATGACCTTGTGTGAACTTCCCAAGTCTTAAATCCCATTCAACTCTTACGTCTTAGAACGTTTGAGTGACAAAACTATGTATTAATGTGACAGGCGAACGGACGCACAGATACATAATTCCCTCAACCAAAGTCGTTTTAAATTGGAAGTTGTTTCTTGTTTCTTTCATGAAGTTAAGGTCACTTTCCCGCCATATTAGTTGACGGTAAAACAAAACAATACTTTATTCGTGGCACTTTCAGATGTTCGCGACATATGCATTATTTATTAAGCATCTCTATTGACTACAATGTGTTTAATCCCCTCTGACCACACCCTTTGAGTACAGGACACTTCCACTTACCTCGTCTTCATCACATCCTCGCACTGTCTGGCAGTCACTCAGATGCTCAACGCTGTCACATGACATGCAGCGCTTCTTCGTTGAATTCACTACAAATGTTAATATTATTTACATATGTTTATGTATATAATCGTCCACTGTTTAATACAAAGGTCTTAACTTTCCGTTTACTACATCTATTGAAAACACAATTAAATCTCTTATCTTATAATAAGAACTCTTGTCAACTCAAAGCTGTATACAGTATCTGTATATTTTCTTACTGATTGATATGAAAAAGAACATACTAAACCATTACGTTTGGAACTAACCGGGGGTTTTTTGGGTTTTTTTCCGTTATGACTTTTAGACTTTTAAAATGTTGAAATTTATAAATAATCTTTTTGATATACCTATGTATATTTCCCGGATTTTGAATCGAGGAAAAAATCTTTGAAGTTGGATGTTATGCACAAATTACATTTAAAATACGCAAACGGAAGCCATTGATAATTACTTTTTTTAGCTGCTACAAGTCCGACGCTAGAGAAATAAGCAGTTAACTCATGCACCACTGTAGACATATTTGAACTCCTCCGATTCAAAGGTTGGAATATTCCATTATGAATTCCACGGGGCAAATGAGTCAATAAACTGTGCATTGCTGAACTAAACAATTCTACGTATCAGATGTCAAATGTACCTTTATGAGTTTCACACAAATTAGTGTTACAAAAGTCGTGATGACAGCAGGATGAACAATCGGGATGACTGGCTGGATTATTTCTTCTAATGCCTGTAGCAGTGACGTCAACTTTGGTGTTTGACGCCGGTTCTGATTCCCGTCGTCCGTGATGGCTGTAACAACTCTACAAAAAGGCATTTAGATTAAAATTCATTTCAATATTCATTCAACACTGTCATTGAAGAAATGAATTAGTGTAAGTTATTCACCACTGAAGACATATTTTAAGTCTTACCATTCAATGGTTGGAATAGTTCATTATAAAATTTCAGAGGTGAATGAGTTAATATACAATATGTGGTTCTACGGGATATGGAAAATTGATCCTGATGGTAGCGTTCCCTACACCGAATAAGCAAACAAACATTATTATTATTGAGTCTATCTTGTAATCATCACTTACCAGACATTTTTAGAAAAAGTTTTACTTAACCAGCGGCAGAACCTCGGGTTAGATTACCAAAATGCTTATTACTTTGGTTGGATATTTCTCTGTTTTGTTCTCAACCGAGAAACAATTCATATTAGTCTCACCCTAGGTTTTAGACAGGGGAATTCCCTTTTATATTAATCGGATGACGTCAAACTAGCAATTCATAGACCCCGGAAGGTAATGTACATAACATATTCAACAGAATCAGTGACACGAATGTTTTACACCCTTGCAGTGGATATGACGGGTGAGAACCCTGAACGAATTAGACTTTTGTTGTCCAACACTTGGCAATCCTCGGAAACTTAATCATCTTTCCCCTTCGGAGACCTCACTATCTCAATCCCGAAAGGAAATATATCATATTATCCTCTTATCCAGAACAGGTGTATCCAATATATGTACGCGGGTGATATCATTTTCTCACCGAAGTGTTAAGACAAGATTACGTTTCGGGAATAAATTATCTAGTAACAATGCTGTTTGTGGTGATTAAAAAATATATTATTTCTGTCTGAGAATGGTGTCGCTCGCCTGTAAGTGTTTGTCTCACTGTGTTTTATGATAATTTCAAATCCGCCTGACCTCTTAATAATTGTGTCGTCGACACTTACGTTATATGATAAGCAGCCTGAGTTATAATAGACGTGGGCGTCGCTCGTCACGTACCTATTAACGTAACACACCTGCAAGTATATTAATGTAAATTATACATACATGTATATTAAAGTAAAGCAAAATAAATTGTACATATGTGAGTATATATCAAGGTAAATTATACATATATTAAAGTAAAGCAAGACAAATTGTACATTTATGAGTATATATCAAGGTAAATTACACATGTGTTAAAGTAAAGCAAGTCAAATTATACATATTTCAAAAGTAAAGCAAGACAAATTATTCATCTGTGAGTCATGATGTAGTCAAAGAAAGGTAATTTCTACATTCCTAAAGGTGTAATAAGGTAAATTAAACATATATAAAGTCAAAACAGGGTAATTTGTACATTCCTAAAGGTAAATAAAGGTGACTTACAATATATGTTGTCTGTTGATATTGAATGAAAAAAATGTATGTTGAAAAAAAAGCCCTCCTGCATTGAGGATATGTTATTATAAAAATTACTATAATGTATTATGTTTTGATTAAAAATATTTTTGAAGGAGAACCAATGTACACTACAAACACCTGAACGAAGGGAAATTATAAACACTAAATTTAAAGTAAGGCAAATTACACCTACCTACCTGAAGTTAACTCTAGAAACATAACTTACAGTATGGCTAACGAAAGTAAATTGTCTTACTGAATGATTGATCAGTAAATTTCACGAACTGAATTACATATTAAGTTAAATATACATAAGGTCTAAACGGGACATGTATGACCTTTTCAAAAGAATATCAAATCAAACGAGGTAGCAGTTATCCGTAATATAAATACCAATCACAAGTAAAAAAAGATTTGGATACCATACGTCTTAATACCACGCACTAATCACAGATAAATGTGTGAAGTAGCACATATCCTTAATATTTCACACAAATCACATGTATTACGTGTAAGGCGGCATAAAAGTATCCTTAATGGCATGAAGCAAACTGTGTCATCATTCTCTTGCTCACGGAATGAGATATCTTATTTTTGTACAATCAAAACATTAAAAATATTTCAAATAAACAAATAAAATGAGAAAAATGTTTTGTTTTTTTCATCTGTGATAGTCATTGTGAATAAAACTACACGATAATGCTTGTTTATCTAATTTTAGATAATTTAAGAATATCAATGAGTCTTCATTAGCCTGATCTAATTACCTTCAGTTAGAAAATGAAATTAAACTACTTGGCTGAATGTTAACAAATGAAAGATAAAAAAATAATAAAAAACCACAAAAAAAATAGGACAGGTAGGTTGGAAAAACATTTGATTTTAATGTATAAGAGTCGGCATGAAAACATATGGTCGGTCGGGAAACAGAAAACACATCTATATTTTTATTTGGTTTAAACATGACTTCGGCGCAACAAATACTAACTTCATAAAACCAAATTATATAGTGACCTTTGACCTGCTATCATTCTAGTTGATATTTCTAAACATTTTCCTCGGGTTGGCAAGTATGGATTATGAGAAGTTCTTTTTACACAACCAATAACATTTTTCTATTTGACATTTCGATGACTAGTACGATATGTACACTGTCACCTTCATCAGACAAATGACCAATGAAGCGTATGCACACAAAGGTGTAAAATGTGTACGAGTTGTCCATAAAATCGACGTCGATTTCGGCTACGCTGGAAACGTATGTACAATAGTTGTTATATATGTACCGAAATGACTCAATTCAGCTACGCTTTGTTAACACTTGGTCATAGATGTTCTAGAGTCTTTGAGCCCCCTCATCTCGATTTAGAACTTGCCCACTGCGGCATATCCAGATGGCTTCCTTTATCTGCCCTTTGTCCGATGTAGGCGACAGTGTACATATCGTACTAGTCATCGAAACGTCACATAGAAAAATGTTATTGGTTGTGTAAAAAGAACTTCTCATAGTTCTAGTTGATATGGTTTTTATGCAAACGGTTTTATCAAAATTATTGACATTCCATTCAGTGCTGTAAAACCTTATCTCATGAATTTAATCTTCAAAGTGAACAAGTTATAAATGTATGTAAGACAAAACAAACTTGGACATTGAGCCATCAATGTTTGCATGTGCTGCTTAAACCGTTTAGTAAAAAACAACGAATTGAAAGGAAAGTTTAACTTTATTTAAAATTTCTATATGATAACATTGTCTCTGCAGCCTCTGGTTGTAATCGTTTGTGTTGGTGAACATTTATTGTATTCATTAGTTCGATAGAAATTGTTAAGTTGTCATAATCTTATACCCTATGGAAATCTAAGGATAATCAAAAATCAGCTCTTTTCGCAAACATAATTTTCTTTTGGAAAACAAAATAAAACAAATCTAAACGACATAAAAAGAACAGCAAAAACTTAACGAAACAAAACAACTGACCTAAAAGAAAACCTTGTGCTCGGCTTTATGCTTGTTAATGACACTTTTGCATTGAAAAGTGTAGCGTTACTAAAAACATCTTACGCTGTAAATATGCTTCAATGTTAATGATAACGCCACGAACAGCAGGGATCTAATGCACAAACAAGGACCAGACATCTTACTGGTCAACTTCGCTATCGCCTATAATATAATTTGATCCCTGTGAAATATCAATCAAATGACTACATTAATCTGACTGTTCACATATACAGAGACGTAGATTTTGGAGTACTTACCTGATGGGAACCACACTCTACTACATTGTTACAGTCCCGCGGATGTGACATATGATAACACTCGTAACACACTTTACCATCTATAAAACAGTAAAAGAAGATAAAATGTCAAAACCAGACATGAACAAATAGTTTTTGCTATTCCCCCAATGATAAACTTTTTCACGATATTTTTCCTATGGTATGAAAATGAAGACAACACAGAGAGTGATTACTTCGTATACCGCAATGTTTGGCACGGTATATGTCATATTAACTATTGATTGGTTGAAGATGCTTGGCAATGAAGTTGCAGCCAATAATGTGTTTTGTGCAAATATGTTGTTTTTTACTCGAAATGAAGAAATATTAATAAATTATGCACCTATGAGTGCTGTTTTTCTATATAAATCCAATAAAAAAGAAAAACAGAATCATCTTAGGTGTTGAACAGTATATACCAAATATCTGTGAATTATTGTGAATAAACCAGTCCACGTATTTATGTTAGGTGTACAGTAAAGTATTTTGTCACCTAAATAGACTTATATAACAAATAGCAATCATTGATGCAGTATAGATAAACAGTTTGATTCGATGTGTGTCCTAAATCTTACGAGATAATTGTTTAACATCATACGACTGTCACATGACTACTGTTCTATTGTCTGAACAGAGTTACATATATTTTACAATTGCTGTGGATATGCGTGAAACTCATGATTATTCGTGATTTATTCCACAGCGCCCTGTGTTGTATCTCTGAGGAGATTTGTAATTTGATCGTATGACTGAAAATATCTTCCCGACTTGCTTGAGGAAAGAGTTATGATTTTTTTGAAGTTTCCTTGATAAAGTTTTTGCTGCCACGGGGAATATTATCAAAGGGCACTTCGCTATAAAAGAAAAAGCGTATTCATTGGGCTACTGGTCATGAAATGTACTTCATTGGAGCATTGCTACGAACCTGTGAATAATTTCAAAGCTCGATAAAAGGTCAGCAAATTACATTTATACTTGTTATGATCCATACCTTCATTCGTTTACATCGGAAACTAGTGATACAGTCAAAGAGAAAAAAATATACAGAAACACACAAGCTTATAAGAAATTTATCCAGTTAATTCATGCATGCAGACCAACTCACAATAGTCTCATCAAATTCGATTTGGAAGGGTTTGAGTGTGTTCTTTAGTTCTAAAAGGTGCTTGAGATGCGGCAATAATGTGGAACAATCTTCTACTGCTAGTTTATGTTTGTTATTGACAGATTTTGGTCTGTTGAAATCTAAGAGAAATAGGATATGAACAAAAGGCTAATGCATCGACATAAGTGCCAAATTTGCATAGCAAAAACATGAACTAGGATCAGAAATATATATATATATAGAGAGAGAGAGAGAGACAGAGAGAGAGACAGAGAAAACGTTTATTGTATAATGACATGGTAAATTAATTTCTTTCTCTAACAAGTATAACATTTCACCATGTATGATTGATTGTTTTAAATCTTGTAGAAATATTGGAGAGACTGGAAACAAACTTACTTGAAAATACTCCACCAAACAGCAACACCGTCGACAATACTGCAAATAAAATAAATGGATCTTAGTAAAATATAATAGTTACATATGTATCCTAGGTACAGGTATTGCACAGCTCTCAAATAGAAACGAAACAGTTAGGATTACTCAGTTTTCTGCACGTATAAATGCTATAAACTAACATTATTTTGTCAGATGTTAGTATATACATACCGCTAAGAATTGGACTGTAATTTGATGGCACCATATTGACTGGTCACAACAGAGATGGTTTTGTGACCCACTTTTAAAGACGTCATAAAGTTCTGTCCCTGACCTGAGATAAGGACAGGACATCCAATGAAATGTATTATCTTAGGAAGTGTCGATACTTCAATGTGGCAAACGCTCACGGTCAATTTAGAGCTAGCTCTGTTAGTTTAATACCTCATTCTTTAAATGTATGTTTTCTTTTTTCCAACAGTTTCGTACTTTCATTATGTTATGAACAATTTAATAAAGAAGTCGTTTCAGAACAAAAGAAGCAGTTATTAATTTGACAAAGCAATCTGTCATAAAACAAATATTTAAAGTGTTGTGTATACGTAGTAAGATAACTGGACTGTTAGTTAGATTGACATTACAGACATCACAAATTCACTGTTGTCGTTATTGTTGTTGTTTTTGTTGCTATGATTTTGGGACATGCCATTGACCAATAAGTGTTCATCCAGAATTCTGTCATTTTTAATTTTCTGCAATTGATACCTTTGTTAGATGAATATGTTCAGAATAGTTCACGATTGAGAAAATGGCGTTTAAAAAAGCATTCTATGACCTCTCAAGATCTAAAATCATCATCGGCGACAGTGTTAACCGATGACCTCTAAAGGCCGTCGCACTTAGCTGTCTCAACTTAAACACTATACAATGACACACCTTTCGGACAACACAGTCTGACGCAGGCTGACTATACGTGTCATAGCACCATAGGAAATAGAGAGACAAAAGAAAGCATATTCGGGTCATTGTCCCAAATTGTATCATCCGATTCCGCGTTAGTATTACATTGGTATTAAGAAAGCCAAATCTTCTCTGATGTCCCGAACCTAGAGTTGTTGTGATGACTTCTTAGTGCGTTTATGATAGCATGAACGATGGTATCACTATGTTAACCTGACCTGACGAAGGTGAAAAGATGCGTGCTGTCGCTATGTGCACGTCGTCACTGTATAAGATAATGATCCCTTTGGGGAAGGAGGATGAAGCCCAATTGGAGAAATAATGTAGATTAAATAAGTAGAAGAATACTATTTTAGTACTGGTAAAAGGATTCTACCCCTATATGGTAAAAAGCGCCATTTGACAAAGTAAAAATTCAACACTATAGATGGATTGTATTGAAGGCAGAAGGAGATTCATTTTAAGAAAAAAACATTGTGTAGCTCACTTGGACGAAACGATTGGGATCCATTAATTGGAATATGTGTTTATCTTTAAAATGTCCCACTACTTAACGTCTTCATATTTCAAAATATCCCCATGATTTGCTGTCTCGCTATTCACCTATACATCAGTTGTACAAGATAAATCGACTATGCGTCAGGTATGATCATATATATTTGAAAAATAACTATTTATGATCACGTGAATAATTGTTTCAACAAGTCTTGTTTAATTATTATAAACTTTAATTTGAATTATCACACAGACTGAGCTCAACTTAACAGATGTATACCTATGAAGGTACACCTGCTTTTTTATTTTTCCAAAATCAGACGTTTGACTCATTTAGAATCATCACACCAACCATTTAAATGCCGTATGAGGTAACAGCAATCGTATACAATGTCCACGTTCAGCGCTTTCAGTACAGTTCTTTGCAAAGAAAATATATCATCGGATGTTCAGACACCAATACCAAATGACAACACTTATATGTATGGTAACACATGTCGTTTATCACAACCAATATTGGTAAACTGATAACTTTGAGTCATCTGTCAACAAAGAAGTTTGTGAGCCAATATATCGTGTTTGACGATGTGGGGTGTTCGATGAAAGTTATAACTCTGTACAGGAGCAGCAAATTTATTCACTTTGAAGGTTTATGATTGTGTTTATATTTTAGATGATCAACATCATTCTTATTTATGTTTGTCGGGTGGAGTAGGACCTAAGTATGACACAAAAATAGAGTGAAAATAATTAAAAAGTTCAATTCCTGAATTACCAGCTTGTTATTATTACTTCATTGTTAAATGTTCTATAGTTTTGAACAAAAGATCGTTGTTACCACCGTCCATGAAATGTTAATTGGAAAATTAAATACTGATATTACGGAGTACTTAAGAGCGTTATGGTAATTGTTGTGTTGATGTACCGGACGATAAGACATTAGCGAATAAATGAACAGACATATTCTATAAAAAATCATTTTTGTGTGAAATATAACAAATGACACGCTCTATAGTCTACAGGTAGAAAGGGAGGCAATCAAATGCATATAAAGTCCTATTAGCTCCACTAGGTCAACGGGACTTAACAGATTAACTGAAAATTGGCCACACTAAATAAAATTCCATTATGAGCATATGAAGCCCGTAGGAATGACAGGTAAGACTGTATGGATCCTGGGCCAGAAATAGGTAAACATAAATACGGGTCATTATGTACATAATTACATGTTTATCTACATATTTTTATATTTACACTTATACCTCATAATGGGTTTATAAGTCAATAACGTTTTGTAGAATTTCTGATAGGGATTTTGCACAAGGTTTACAAAAAATATCCTACAGGTATGATTCCTGTCTTATTTCGGCTAGTATCTACATGTAATTCAAGTTTATGTTCTATTCAGCAAAATTTACTACTTTGTTTCACAGAAAGGTTTTCATATTTACCAGTCTGTATACGGAATGGGACAACTCAACCCCACACTTAAATTCGCCGTAGCTCTTTTACAACGGATTCACGATTAGTTTGTAGCCATTTTTCTCTCGTTTACTAGACATAGCTTCTCCCAATGTATTACATGTAATGTATTTGTATTTAAGTTCACCACCTATACTATTAGACAAGTTTGAACTATAAAGCATTTTTATCAAAACCAGTTTTTACAACCCTTTCCTTTCAAACGCTTACGACACTTATAGATATGGTTGTTCATACGTGCTGTGTCCATGTACTCGAGTCGATGCCAAATTGAAGAAATGACCGCCTTCCATTGCCAACTGTAGCGTGGTTTCCATGTAATTTTGACGTTTACTGCCGCTGAAGGCGTATACTTGACGACTCCAAGAAAGAACCGACACACCCTATTTTTGACTTCGTTAATGCATGCATAGGCATGTGTTCCCCAAATAGCGGCTCCATATCTCAAATAGTTGTCACAATAGTGGCATAAAGCTTACAACACAAATCATATAAGGAACCCACCCTGCAATGGATTTAAATTTAGATAACATAATTCTCTCTTCGCAAATCTAGCAGTAATTGCGTAGTCCACATGTTCAGACATAACTAGTCCCGGATACTGGTATCTGTCAGAGTGATCAATCTCCAGGTCTCCACACCTGAAAATCATTTGAGACTTCCTTTTATTTTACGGAAGTGAATAACTTTTGTTTAGCTCCCATAAATAACCATGTTGTGTGTGTCGCAACAGTCTGATAAGATATCCAACGCACACTGTAAGTTATCCTCGTTCTCTGCTATAGTCGCAAGGTCGTCCGCGTATAACAGATTCCCAATCCTTACTTCTTCAACAACCACACCTTTTCCTGAAGTACATTTAAAAAGAAAAAAAAGAAATTGGAGAGATCCATTTTCCCTGTTTTAATCCGGATGATACAAATAACCAGTCATGCATGAAGCTATTAACACTAGCATAGCTATCTACACTAGAGAACAAGCTTGACCATAGTTACGTCATAAATATCCTGTCGTCAGTCGTATGCCTTTTGAAAATCCACGCAAACACGCCGAAAAAAACGTTGAAGGTAATTAATATGCGCGGATCATTTGATTGGTTTCAGTGCAGTTTATCGATGGAAACTTTAACCAATCAGAATTCGCGTTACGTATTCATGTAGAGGAACACCACAAAGATGGCCGACAACTTTTCGATTGTGCGTGAAAAAACTACATTTAGATCAATTAAAGCCATTTCAAGAGGAGACAATAACCCAGCTTTTGAAAGGTTGAGATTCCTTTTCGTCAATCAAAACAGGAAGCGGCAAAAGTATTTGCTATGAAGGTTATCAACCAATGTGGACGAAAATTAACGGATGCGAATGCAGTGTGCTTGTCGTTTCGCCGTTGATTTCTATTATGAAGAAACAGTGTGAATACCTTGTGTCATGTAATTGTACAGCTACGTACATCGGTAAAGATTGTATCTAAGACATAGACATTTTTAATGGCTGCTTCCAGTTCGTATTTGCCTCAGCCGAATCCATTGTGTCGGTGAATAAGTAAACACTTCAAACTGTTTGTTGTTGACGAGGCACATACGATATTGCATTGGTAAGGAAATTTTAATATTTACACGAAGAAATCAAGAAATTCTGTCGGACCTGGTGATTCATTTTAAATGAGTAAATCAGTGTTTCTTAATTACATGTTTTTGACATTAAAACGTGTAATAACGAAAATGTTATTACCAAGCATTATCGTACACTTCCCTATACACCCAAAAATACACAATTGTTATTATAAAAGTTTCAAATACCTATACATGTGTACTTACAGGATGTGTTTTTCTTCACTAATGACAAGGGTCAATACTTATATTAAAGTTAAATTTCCTATCATACTTTCATATTTTACTTCAGGGGTGAAAGTGAAACAGAGATGGAGCCTTTCCGGATATGGTACAGTAAGCTAGGTGAAATCAGATCCCTCATACAAGTTTTGTATGGTGTACTGTCATTAAATTGTACAAAATCCAGATAGAGAAAATATCAAACTGTTTCTTCATAAATTTAGGAGTACTGTTCCACTTTGTGAACATGTCCATTTCGAGTACGGGTTTGCAATAAGCCTCTCTTCAGCCTCGACTTCGGTGTCGGTGTTTGTTTCGTTATAGGTCTTTTTACCCTTTTCACGGTGTAGACCACTTCTTTACAGTACCAGGCAATTGCTTGAGGGTTTCTAAAAGTTTGTCACGCTCTTGTGTCAGTACTGTCACTTTGATCTGAACGTCCCCGTTCAATTTGTTGATTCTATTTAACTTATTAACACAGGTTGCATATCTGTCCACTAACCGGTGCTATAGCCAGACTTACAAATGTAGCGCCGTACTGTTCTTGACTGACC